TCACTTCCCGGGTTTGCTCGTCTGATTCGTTTTCCAGTATTCGACTTTGGTTGCATTCAAATCGCTCGTCTTGCGCGTCGAGGATGCTCTGTTGGGGTTGATCAGCTTTTTAATACGCTGGGATTTCAAGATGCTATCAAGCTGATCCGACTTCACGACCCCTCTTTCCGAAACAGCGGCTATTTTGGCAAGCCTTCTCCACCGACATTTGTTTCGTTTTGCTGTGTGAATCAGCGCTAACTCACTTAAGTAGCGCTCGCATGTTGCTGTGAAGACCACAATAGACAGCACTTGCATCGGAAGTATCGGCAACTTGCTAAAAGGCATGTCATCGCGCATGAAATCCCAGAACGAACTGACGATACTGAACCCTCCCTGTGGTGGAAGTGCTAGCTTTCCTTTCAGCCACTTGTAAATATCCTCTCCTAAGTTGCCGGGGTCCGCGCGCATGAATCGCCGATAATAGTAAACGCCGATGCGGCACAGGGAGCCTATCGCTGTCAGCGGGGTCTTGTTTAACAGCTTTTGAGCGGCATTGGTGTGTAAAGGATGTCAAAATAGAGCGAGCAACATGAGTGGCTGCTCACACTGTTTCCATCGTTGCTCCACTTGCTTGATAAGGTTGCGCGTGCCAAACGGACGCACCGAAAATCCTTTGATTATATCCATGTAGCACACAACAACATCCGCGAGCGAGTTCTCGTCGCGCTGCAACTTCAAAAAAGGAAAATGCAAGCGGACGCACCACCTCTTCAGCGTCTTTAAGCCGTTCCCAAAATGATCCTCTGCTAAAAACGCGTGCAGCATCAGGAAAATCATCGCCAGCTCGAAACTTAAACTCTAGTAACTCAAGCGCACTTTGAACGCGCAACAACGATGCAAAACATCCATGCATGCTGTTCCAACGGGTTTCACATAATTGTTTCAGATTCAGGAAATATCCATAAGTATCCACCATGCACGTCCTTGCTTCGACTAACCACTTTGCGGAAGACGCATTCAGAGCATTGACCGCGTCTGATGCTTGCTTGGTGACCTCAGAAAAATCTGACTTTAGAACTGCCCTGACTAAATTGTTTAGATCATGAGCAAAACAGATCTGAAATGAGATATGCGGCCACCGTAGACTTAAAATTCGTCGTGCCCGCGCGCATTGTCCGGCATTATCGGTAACAACGCCACCAATTGTCCAACCATCACTCTGCATCTTTTCCATCACACCTTCCATTTGTTCCGCAATTGCGATAGCGTCATGCCTGGGTCCCGTAGGAAGCAAAGCGTATGTCATACCACACCCAAAAAGAACCAATTGGCAACCAAGCAAGTGAGCGCGAGAAATGTTCTGCCAAACATCACTTAAGAAATTCACGCGCGCACCTTCATTAGCACATTGTACATTACGAAGTGCCGTGCTATCTTGGCTCTCGCAGTCGAAAGCGTACGCGTCTAGAATGGGTCCAATTTCAGAATAAATACTAGAGGTTACCTGGCAGTGTCATTGAGTCGTGTTATTTCCTTTTAGACGCAAAGCGGAAATTCGATCCGCGTCATCCCGCTCAGCCTTACATGTTTCTTGTAGTAGAAGAGCTGATACAACGCTCTTCTGACGTGGCGGGGAGCGCCGGACTTGTGTCTGGACGACAGCATTCGGAGCCGGCTGCTTAAGATATCATTGCCATACTGTGTCCATTTACAAGGCGCGTCGCCGCAGGAGTGGCATGGCAGCGCGGTTTCTCCGGCGCCCATCGTAACATGAAATTATAATTTGTCGAAGTACAGTGAAGGGCGTTGTGGCAAGCACATGGACGGAGTAATATTTTCTATTGGTGGACGTTTTCATCTTAGTGGTAGGTAATTGGATGAATAATAGGTACGCAGAGTACCTATTAATCCCTTTCACGACCAAAAATATTTTACTCGGCTGATAGCTACATCTTTTTGGAGCGTTTCTAATAGGGCATCTTCATGTTCCTAATGTAATCGTGTTCGTCAGAGGAGGGCTACACTTGTTTTTGATGTACGCTGCACTTGGTCTCTGTAAGCAGAACACGAACCCAAAACTCGCACAGACGACCTCTAAAAATATTGAATATGGTCAAATTGCATCCAGACTTACTGGTTAAAACAAGACAAACCTTCCAAATGTAGCCACTTAACCTTCATGCAACGTTACGGTACTTTGCTGGCTTACGTATTAATATCGGCTCTTGCTACTCCTACCGAAAAAAAACAACGAAGTCAAAGCCATGTTTTTTTATCTTGCTCATATTATGTAGTTCTGTCCATGCTATGCAGCACACACCGCTAAGAGTGCATGTCTAAATTTCGAGATTTATCTTCCATCGCGTTTTTGGTCGATGTAGTTCGTGCACATACCCAAGTATCGAAGTCGAAGATACGGCACCAGATTGTAAAGGCCCTTGTGCCACGGAGTACGAGCAAGTGTCAGCTCCAGTACGATCAAGCACCACAGTCCACATTTGTCGCTGTCTTTTTGGAGACACTAGGTAAACTTGCAGTAGTTGAGCTCGACGTTCATCGGTAGCAGCGGTTCTACAATGGTATTCTCCAGCCTTTTGTAGTTTTTGTGCCTTGCTGGAAATCAAACAGTCGGCAGGCTCGGGCTTGAACATCTATATGGTAGGCTAGCCAGTACGCTCCCCCGAAGTTTATCATACCGATTCTATCCGTGTTTGCTTGCGAAAAAACATTGTACGCGTTCGCCACTTTGCGCTTCCTATCAGTCTCCCTTTGTTCCGTAAATGATGGACTAACAACGCCAGTATTGTCATACTTGACAGCGAGACTGTGCATGGATGTTAGTACCGTATTTGAGATCTCCTACTTCAGAGTGATCTCCTAATTCAGACTGCCCTCCAACCAATCACATATCGAGAATGGAACAGCGCACAAGTCTAGATCTCCTAATTCAGAGTACAAAAAACGTGCTAAACTGTAGCTATCCACCCAGAAATTCGCAATGGCGCGCACTCCCGGCCAACGGAAAGGGAGAACCCGTATTTCTGGCACTGGCAAGCCTCCTAAGAAGTTCAAGCGCGTTGCCATTTCATACGCCTACAAGCTTTCGGTTGTGGAGGGAACCTGATTGGGAGCTGCTACGACGGTTGCTGGAAGAAGTGCCCGTAGTGCGCCATGCTGTGGATACGCGTCACGACAGAAAACTTCGTAGTTCCCGAAGAAGAACTTGATAACTAAATTGTTTTGTTTAAATAATACGTGATAGAGATGCGTCGGTACATGTACAGATCTTGTCTATTTTGCAACAATACAACTTCAAAAATATTGGGTCTGAAGTAGGAGATCTCAAATACGGTATAGATGTTGTAGAGAGCCAGTGACAGTAGCGAAAGCTAAGCAGTCGAAAGCCATCGATGGCCTCGGTACCAACAACCGACAAGCACCTCGTTATAGCAATATCCACCTGAAAGCAGCTCGTTAATTTCTTCAGCCTTTACGCTATACTCTGGTGCGCTTGACGCACACAACTCTGCAACTTTGCGCAGCGCTAGCTTTCGCTGAGCTCGATCAATCTTTTTGCTGGCCTTGTTCGAGAGTTTTTTGCTTCTCATGTGCTTACTTAACTGGTAGGGCACTTCGTCCTTTGGCTGATTACATTTGGCGGTGTTGATGCCGATGAAAGGAGGCTTTTGCCTTGGTTCGTCGTGCTGTTCGCTCAATCTCTCGTCGCTGGGCTCGAAGCCCAAGCAAGCACGCGCGGCGCTCCAGCCGCGCTTTTCCACCGCAAGATCCCTCACTCTCGTCGCTCTAGGCTCACGGGTAAGCACAACAACATGTTCATTCAGCGTTCAGCACCCCTCGAACCAAGCACGGACGCTCCACCTACCATTTACGGGTCGATTTCGGGAATGACGGGAAAATCTTTAAGCTCTGAAACAGGCTTCCCCATTTCGAGA